TTTCCTGCCTTACTTCAAATAAATGGGTGTTGTGTTTACATACTGCATACTGAGCATTGCCCACCCGAAGCCAAGGGCTGCATCTTGCCAACTCTTAACTTTCGTACAATATGGCGATTACATGAGCCAGCATACCATTAAGTCACATAACAAAACATGGAGAATGGCGCTGTCAGCTTGCAGAACCGTACCTGAACGACTGACATGCAGTGCACAAAAGGAGAAACTAGATTTCAGTGGGACTGCAGAACTGGGTCAGAAGCAGACTGGGTTAGCAGCCTCAGTTTAAACTACAAAGCCAAGTGCTGCATATTTCATGGAGATAAAAACTTACAGGCGCACGATACAAGCAGGCGAAGGGGAGGGGGAAGAAAAAAAAAAAAGATCACTAAACACGCCTAACAAAATGCTTCCCCACCCTAGAGCCTTCCAGGTCATCTGCTGGTTATTCTCCATACGACACTTTATTCCAGGACGTTCTTTCCAGCTGCAGTACTTGCAAACCAGCCTCGCCTAAGCTGAGCTTTCTGGCTCCAGCAAGTTCTTTTTTTTTTTTCTATCTGATGAGCAGCAGATCTATACCTATCATGAGCTCCAAATGTCTTCCAGTGCCTAGTGTCCATTTTTTTGCAGAATGAGCAGGAAAGATTGCAGATTAGAGCTCACCGCTTCCCCTAAAATCATGACTCTGCAAGCTCGCACCAAGGTATCAGATATCTGCTCTGCGTTTCTGATTTAGCCTGCTGATACGAGACCGGAGCAGGCAATTCCTGTACTAATTCTTTTTCCAGGTACCATTCCATAATAATTTCTACAGAGGCTTCCACTTCAGTGACACAAACATGCTACAGATAGGACAACCTAAGAAGGTGGCAACGGCCAGCAATAATGCACACATTCAGAGGTACAAAGCCGAGCTCCAATCTAAGACCCTTCTAATACTGAGGTTTCTAAGAGGTTGTGCATGTAACCCACTGCTGAAAATCAAGTGCCTGAACCAAGTATCTGCGATGCCTGAACATCAGCAGCCTCCTGAGCTAGCCCCATGGGTGACCCCGCCTTGCAGCGTGTTTCTTAGTAACTTAATCTTTTTTAGTTTGTCGTCAAATCAAGCAAAGAGCAAGCAAATCAGAAGTCTGCTACGTGTTTTTGCAGGATTGTATCACACCAGCACCACACATCCTGCTTTATTCAAAATGTAAACGGCTGTCCAGACATCAGTGGCATTTTATTTGTTGTAATAGTAGCATGCAACATGACATAAACTCACTTCTGATAATAGTTTTACTTACTAAGTGTATAAAGCCTCTCATACAAGAAATCCTTCAATAAGCTTAATTCACGGAAAGAGTCCCACTGAACAATGATTTGTATGACTGGACCCTAAAACATTTAATCACATTTTCAAAGGCATTATTACTTTAAAAAAAAAATATCCAGGAGGTGTTGGTACATTATATATTTATCAAACAGTATAGTTCCAGAAACAATGCTTCTAGGACTGACGCTGCTGGGGAACATGCTTCTGCAGTTCCTGTGGTTTCTTGGACTAAGACAGACTTAAATAAACTGACCAACCTGCTCACTTCTAGTCTAGCATTTGGCACGACTCTTCCAGCACTTTTGTTGCACGGACGTATGACTCAGCTACTCCTTCAGCTGCACTAGTTATATATTATCCCTGTGTAACATTACTTCAAGCATCAAAATCCCTGATTTATTTTAAGCGCTATCCAGGTATTACTAAGTGCTTTCAAGGCTCGGCGACGTAGTGGTTCTCACTTTCTGTGCTATGTCTATTGCAGGATATGTTATTATAAGAAATGATAACTTCTTTCCCGGCTCCCCAATCCCAACTCTTTTCTCTACACCAGTTACCACGCTAGACAGTGGCAAAAGTAGCCACCGGAGAGCGTAAAGATTAAAGTTTACTTTCATGTGCCAAAGGCCCCAGTGTGCTTAAGTCCTCCTTCTTGTATCCACTTCACTTGCTCTCTCTTTGCACAGGGGTCCACATGGTTTTAGCGGAAAGTCTTTCTCAAAGTATCTCCTGCGCCGATCCCCTCGGAATGATTAATGGTTTGGTATCACGTTTGTTTGCTAATCCTTAAAATGAAGGAAAAAAATCCTTTGGAGAGCTAGGAGTCTGTCACTGTCTCCAAAAAGCAGGAAGCATAACTGCTTGAAGGCTGACAGATGCTTCGCCACCACGACAAGAAGCTGTTCCCCAGGCTACAGCTCGTGAGCCCCTGAGTCAAGCCATATGGTCCTGAATGCCAAGACTGCCTGTCTTTCCCAGTTCATTGGGACAGAAGGATTATTCCTGCTTTGCTCTGAATTTGCAAAAGTACTCTGTGGCTTTAGAAGTTTACAGTTTGTATGAAATAAAATGCTTGACCGCTTGCACTCATAAATCCTCTTTTGTTTGCCGAACAGTTTTTTTCCTTCTCTGAAGAAACAGCCCTACATGCACGCTTCCGTGGGCTAGGGTAACGTCTTGTGACTTTATTGCTATCCTCTCCGATATTAAATGAATGCATATCTCGAAGCACACGTAAATACGGCTTCTTACTCTTTAAGAGACCCTTCCCAACTACTAATCTGTTCTGCATATTTGACCAAGTTTGTAAATAAGGTCTGAACCAACAGCTTTGAGGGGCAAGGCACCTTCAGTCATTTGAAGGGAGTAACGGCAATGGATACAGGCTGTTACAATTCAGAACTGATCCTTTACAACAATACCTCACTGTTCTTCGGCATCCCACAAATTAAGGCTCCAAGGTATAACTCTTTAAACACGGGTACATTCTCCACTGCTTTGGCCAGCTGTGATTTAAATATTTCAGAAAGTGAGTATTTCTAATTCCTGTCACCTCTTGAAAAACTAGTCAACTGCCCCAAAGCCTCCAGTAAGGTCCTTTCCTCGTTCTTAAAAATATATTTTATGTCTTTTCCAACGACCGTATGCTGAAGTGTCGCCAGGCTACTGGTGCGTGGGCGACCCAGCAGTTGCCAAGAAGTAACGGAAGGGAGAAAGTATCGCGCTTCTACCCAAGAAGCGGAGGGGAAGGCAAAAGCCCCCCGCACAGGACCAGCGGCGTGCGTGTCTGTGCATTGTTCTCCCTCAAGAGCTCCGTCTCGGCACCGAGTAGCCCCGGCTCCCACTGAGGTCAGCCGGGATGGAGGGTACCGGCACCTTGCAAAGTCAAGGTGTAAACTTTTTCTCCTCTGAGTTTCTCTGAGCTGCTGCGTGTTACAAGATGATTTTTCCACTCGTGTCTGTCCCCATCCTTGCCTTTTAAAAACCGCACAGCCCCGCGGCTGCAATCCCTACAGAACTTGGAGGAATGAGGGCAGGGACACCCACAACGGCAGGGAGCGGCTCCTGACGGCGGGGTGAGGGAGGGCGAGGGCCGGCATGCCGGCGGCCATCC